AAAATGAGGTAAGCTGCAAATTTCACAGGCTCGCTCACATCCAGATCTAAAGTTTAAAATGTCTCAAATATGTTCAGGCTTCAGGAAGAATAAATTCATTCACTTCAATCAAAGGGCGTGTTTCCAGTAAAAATGTTCACAGTGGCGTGCCCTCCTGCCATGTGTAGGAGTGGCACGATGCTTGAGGTTTCATTTTTGGGACATTAACCCTTTCCCACTCTAATTCCCCTCTGCTCATTGTCAGCCTGGCTCAGTTGGGAGCACTCTTGCCTCTGAGCCAGAAGGTTTTGGATTCAAGACGCACGTCAGGACATGGAATCACATAGTCTTAAAACCAATAAACAACAACAAAATTACATTTGTAAAGCACCTTTCATGTCGGGAGGACGTCCCAAGGTGCTGAGCATTCGGGGATTAAGATGATCTCTAATGCAGCGCTGGGAGTGTATCGCATTGTTGTAGGTGCTGGCCTTTGGATGAGACATTAAACCGAGGTCCTGTCTGCCTGTTCAGGTGGTTGTTAAAGATCGCATGACACTCTTAGCTGTTTGTGGGACTCTCTGTGCACAAACTGCTTCCCACATTTCACCTACAAAATATGCAGTCAAACCACTTTACAGTATGTCCTGTGACATCTTGATGTTATAAGGCACAATATCAAATGCAAGGATTATTATTATTAGTCCTATATATATATATGTCCTCCTGACATGAAAGGTGCTTTACAAATGTAATTTTGTTGTTGATTATTGGTTTTTAAGACTATCTGATTCCATGTCCTGACGTGGGTCTCGAACCCAAAACCTTCTGGCTCAGAGGCGAGAGCGCTCCCAACTGAGCCAGGCTGACAATGACCAGAGGGGAATTGGAGTGGGGAAAGGGTTAATGTCCCAAAAATGAAACTTCAAGCATATATATGAGGACGGGATTCATCCCCCACCTCTCCACTGTGAATCCCTGGCCTCCTTCCCTCCCTCAGCAGCATTTCTCACTCCCATGTACAATACTAATCCTGACTAATAGCTACGTATAATAATTTCACCCACAAAAATCGATAGATTTTGAAAAACTAAAGGGATTGAGGAATATGGGCAGGTAATTGGAATTAGATTAGAAGATCAGCCATGATCTTACTAAATAGCAGGGCAGGCTTGAGGGGCCGAATGGCCTCCTCTTGCTCTTATTTCTTATATTCTTATGTAAAATACACGGTCACTTCACAGTATATTTTGTGCACTTTGAGACATCTCACTGATGTGAAGGCACTATATCAACTGTAAGGATTATTATTATTTCTACATTTGATAACATGACTTATCACATCATCAAATTTACTGTGTAGTGACTGCATTTTGTAGGTGAACTTTGCAGCTAATTGGAAACATGAAGTCAATGACTAATTTTATTTGGGGAATTGTTGGCCAGGACACTGGGAGACAGACCCTTCTCTCTTCGACATGTGCCATGAGATCTTTAACATCCACCTGAACAGGCAGACAGGTCCTCAGTTTAACGTCTCATCCAAGGGATAGCACCTTCATTGGGTACATGTACCAAGGTTAATTCAGAATTTTATAATAGTTCAACAAGGTTGAAATGATAATACTTGCAAACAAGAAGTAGCGATCTCCCACTGTTGGAATGCAAAACACCAGCCATAAGACAGCTTCTGTAGACGTTTTGAATTCAGGANTTTTTTTAAAACAAATTTGTTAACAAGTCACATAATTACAAGTGTGAATTGGAAATCACAATTAGCACAGTAACTTCAGGTTTGTGAATAACAACAGGCCAATTTCAGGACAGATATCAGATACGTTTTCTTTACCCCAAGTGGAATTAACAAGTGGAATAAGTTGGGAGGAACTATGGTTGAGGCAAGGACTCTGGATGCTGTGATTGGGGGCTGGATGGGAGTTCGGGAAGGATGAGATCAGACAAACCTTCTTAAATCCAAACTGATCATCAACAATGCATGGTTGCCACCTATATTATCAGCCTAGACTATGAGCTCAAGGTCCTCATGTAGGACTGGACCCACAACCTTGTGACTCAGGGGGAGAATGCTACCAACTGAGCCAGGCTGGTACCATCTGACTATCCTCAGGACAGTGAATTAGACAGTGTTTCCAACAGTTTTCCTTCTTGACTTCCCCACCACCACCCCCACTAAGCTGCAAGAGCTTCCGGTTCCTGCAGTCTCTTGTAGATTTCCGTCTCCAAAGTGGTCCTCACTGAACAGTTATGTTTTTGAATGACAAGTTCTTACTGTCTATGTTCATCTATCCTCCGGGGGGGGGGGGGGTGAGAGGGGAAGTGGTTCAACTGGCTCCAGCATGAGGTGCTTGGTAATGGAATATTGGAATCAAGTCTACCCTCTGTGATGGTCTCTAGTCCGGTTCCTGAGCCAGGCAGGTCTGCAGTACTCCAGTCTCACTGCAGGTGACAGCACAGCCAGTCTGGCTCATCAGCAGGACTTGGAAGGGCAGACCAGTCACTGGGGGCAGAGAATCATCCCACTCAGCTCCTGTTAACCCTACAAGCCAAAGTCCTGTTGGGTACAGTGGTCCTAGCTGGACAAGCAGCAGGAAAGCTTGTCAGACAGTGCTCTCAATGGCAAGCTATATGGTTTTTAGCAGTTTTGATTCCAGCAGTACCCCAACCACACTCTGGGGTCCCCAAGCCTTAGCTCTTGTCAAACTGCACCAGTACTCTCCAGGATTAGGTAAGCAGGGTGCGTCCCTCCGAGAGAGAATGCACATTCCATTCCAGATACAAAACTTTCCATGTGCAGGTGGTATGCCTGGTTTGGATATTTGAGAATGGTTTCTGCAAGTCGGGCACCAGTTGACCAGAAAAAAAAAGATAACCACTTCCTGTTAATTCCCTTCTGCGTAAAGAAATACCTGTTGATGTCAGCCTCGTCCATTCTGGACTCCCTTCCCCCCCTTACACTCCCGTAAATCCCCCTGGTATACCAGCCATCTCTGTTCCCTCAAGGCACAAGTGCGAGCTGCCGAACGCGCCTGGACCAAATCCAAATTAACGGTCCATCGGCAGACCTGGCTTCACCACACCAAGATCTACCGCTGCGTTCTTGCCTCTGCCAAATCCTCCTTCTACTCCAAAGTTATCTTGGAGACAAAGGATAATTCCCGGCTTCTCTTTTCCACCACAAACCGTCTCCTCCGTCCACCTTGACACACCTCGCCCATCCTCTCCTCAAACTCCAACTGTGAGGAGATGCTGGATTTCCTCAAAACCAAAATCGAGGGGATACGTTCAGCCACCTCAGCCTCGTCCACAGCCACCCCCACATCACCTCTCCCTCATGACCCACCCATCCCCCCTATACTCCTTCGACCCTATCTCTCCCTCCTCCCTCACCATGATTGTTCGCAAACTCAAACCCACCACCTGCTCCCTCGATCCCATCCCCAGCTATCGCCTCCCAGCTCCACCTTCTGGCTCCTCTCCTGTCCGAGGTCATCAACCTCTCCTTGTCAACCGGCTCAGTTCCAACCCCCCTAAAAACAGCTGTCATCACCCCCATCCTGAAAAAACCTTCCCTGGACCCATCTCTTTCCAAGCTCCCATTCCTCTCCAAGGTCCTGGAACGAGTCGTCGCGTCCCAGCTCCGCTCCTTTCTCTCTCGCATTTCCTTCTTTGAACCCCTCCAATCCGGCTTCCGGCTGCCCACAGCACAGAAACAGCCCTGGTCAAAGTCACTGAACATCTGTGATCAGGGCTCCCTCTGCCTCCTTGTCCTCCTCAACCTCTCTGCCGCATTTGACACTGTCAACCACTCCATCCTCATACACCACCTCTCCGCTTTACTCAATCTTCACAGACCTGCCCTTGCCTGGTTCGATTCCGATTTCTCTCACTGTATCCACTTTGTTGCCTCTAACGGTTTCTCCTCCACCCCGGCACTGTCACATCTGGCATCCCCCAGGGCTCTGTCCTTGGCCCTCTCTTTAATATCTACATGCTGCCCCTTGGTGACATCACCCGCAGACATGGGGTCAACTTCCATATGTATGCAGATGACACCCAACTCTGTCTTCTTGCCTCCACCCTCAACTCCGGGACCACTGCTGTCCTGACAGACTGCCTGTCGGACATCAAATCCTGGATGAGGGAAAATTTCCTACAGTTGAATGTGAACAAGGCTGAGGCCCTCCTGATTGGCTCGCGCCAGCGCCTCTGCACCTCAGGCTCTGGCAGCAACGACCTCCATGGTTGCTCACTACAACTCACCAAGCCAGTCAGGAACCTAGGTGTCTTGTTCAACCCACAACTGTCTTTCCTTCCCCATATCCAAGCCATGACCCGCTCTGCCTTCCCTCACCTACATAACATTGTCCAACTCCACCACTACCTCTCCCCTCAGGCTGCTGAAACTCTTGTTCATGCCTTTATCACCTCCAGTCTCGACTAGCAAACTAGACTAGCTTGTCAGCCTTCCCAACTCCTCCCTCCGCTCAGCCGGCTCCGGCCTGCTCCACATCCCCCGACCCACCATTGGCGGGAGAGCCTTCAATCCCTCTGCCCCCAACCTCTGGAACTCCATCCCCCAATCACTCCACCTCACCCCCTCCTTAGCCTCCTTCAGGTCCCACCTCAAAACCCTCCTCTTCAACCATGCCAGTGGTCACACCCTTCCCTTTCTCCCCGCTGACCCCAGCTCAGGTCTGAAATGCCATACACTCTCCAGCGCCTTGGGATGTCCTCCCGCCGTGAAAGGCACTATATAAATGTAATCTTGTTGTTGATGATGCTCTCATTCCTGCTGAGCGTCTGTCATTAATGCTAGATGTTCTTTGTGATTTTTCACTGGTCTCTTTGTGTGGCATCTTTCATTGCAGGAGCAAGGGCATCTCAGAGTGCTTCACAGCCAACTAGGCAGCTGAGCTGTGGGGAAGGGGGCAGTTTGCAAGTTTGTGTTGTCTTCTGCAAGGCAGAGAGAGTAATATGCTTTTGTGCTTGTTGGTTTACAGATCTATTGAGTGTGACGCGGGGGGGTTGACAGAGCCACCAGTGCAGGGGGGATGCACCTGTACGAAGATTTGAAGAAAACAAATGGTGAGAAAGGGTTTGTTATTTGGGCAGGAGGAGAGGGTTATTCATTGTAAATCAGAGTGTCCACAAAATCCTGTTACGCCCTGTTACAAAACAGTGATGTGAGACTACAGAGGAACTGAAACAAATGTCAGAGATGTATTTTTCCATCCAAGTCATGGAACATGTTGCACTGAACATGGTGATGGATCATTATTTGCCATGAACACGATGGCGCTCACTCACACCGATCCTCTGGTCGTCTAAATACAGTTAAAAATTTGTACTACAAACAGTTAAATACAATTGTCATTGGTCAATCATCATCATTGGTGTCTGGAGAGGAGGAAAAAAAACAATGCACAGAAGGAGGCCTTTGGCTCATCATGTCTGTACAACTGCTCCTGTTTTCAAATTACTTTTTATTCATTTCCAGCTCTCTCTTCTCATTCCTCAATCTGTTCACTGTTCAGCTGTTTATCCAATTTTGTTTTCAACGATTCTATTGATCCAGCCTCAATAGCCACTTGTGGTGATAAATTCCAAACACTCTCTGTAACAAGCTTCTGAGTAAAGATGTTTCCTCCAACTGCTCCCCTGCTAACAATGCTGAGAATGTGCTGCTTGGTTACAAATTCTCCAAATAGAGGAAATATTCCTCTCCATTTACCTTATAACCCCCTCCAGTATCTCTCTCTATACATCTCATCCTATCTGAGTGTGGCTGCAAGCCAGGACTTTGAGCTGACTCTTTGTCCCAAACCTTCAGATAAGAAATGTAACCAAAGTCCCGTCTGTCCCTATTCAGGTGGATATTAAAGATTCTACGGCACTATTTATTTTTAATAATCTTTGCAATTAGTTATAGCAACACTCATGTCAGTAGTTGTGTTTCAAACCCTTCACGGAATTTACTGTGAAGTGTAGTGACTGCATTTTGTAGGTGAATGCGGCAGCCAATTTGCACACAGCAGGGTCTCGCAAACAGCTATGAAGTGAATAACCAGTTTTATCTGGGGGATTGTTGGTCAGGATACTAGGAGAAATCCCTCTTTTTGAAGAGTGCCATGGGATCTTTAATATCCACTTGAACAAAGAGTTTGAGTAGACTCTGTTTAATGTATTATGTGAAGGACGGCAACCCTGGCAATGCAGCATATTTTCCCAGCACTGCATTGGAGTCAGCTTAGCCTGTATGAATACCAAGAACCAACATGGGGTTTGAACCCACGACCTTGTGACTCAGAGGCAAAGGTGCTTCTGATTGAGCCAGGTTGATGTACATTTGAAAAGAGAAGGGCGTTTCTCTCTCCCGATGTCCTGGACAACAATCCCCCAGTTAAAATTGGTTTATGGTTGCGTGGTAATTGGCTGGCCAGTTTCCCTACAAAAAACAGTCATTACACCTCACAATAAACTCAGACACTTGGACGTCATAAGGCATTGTATCAAACACAAGGGTTATTATAATTGTTGTACCTCCTAACCATTATGTCTCATGTGTGGTATTATCCTAGTGAATGTACACTGCCCCCTCATCATCTCTATGACATCCTTCCTGTAACAAGCTGTCCAGAACTGAATACAAAGTACTTCAGCTACAGCGGGTCCAAGCATCACTGCTTATTGTTAAAGCTCGAACTCTGTCCATTTCGAAAGATTTTTGTTTCTGTTTTCAAGGTTGAGGCAGATAACACATGATTAACCACAGACCTCAGATAAGACCACAGTTCTTCTCAGTAACTGGGGAGTCCAGTCTCAGCCCTCCACTCTCCCCAGCACCATGAGTCTCAGTAACAGCCTGACCTAGTGGTAGAGCTCTTGCCTGTGAGCAAGAAGATTGTGGGTTCAAACCCCACGTTAGGACTTTGAACTCATATCATTAAGGCTGACATCCAGTGCGGTGCTGGAGTGCTGCTGCATTGCCAAATGTACCATCCTTCACATAAGATGTTAAGCTGAGGTCCCATCTGCCTGTTCAGGGGCGCTTTTTGAAAAGAGAAGGGAGTTTCTCTCTTCCTGTTTCCTGGCCAGCTATCCCCCAAATAAAATTGATCACTCACTTCATGGCTGTTTATGGGACTTTGCTGTGCACAAATGGCTGCCATGTTTGCCCACAAATACACTTCACCGTAAATCTTGTAAAGCTCTTTGGGACATTCACCCGACATAAGGCATTGTATCAAAGGCAAGGATTTTTATTGTATAATAATAGGAACTCTGTCTCAGTACTCCACTGCCCCATACAAACATAGAAAGGGCTATGTTTTTTACTGGTGATAAAAAATAATCCTGTTCACCAAATAAACATGTGTGAGGAAAGGCTGTGTGGACAACAACACACAATTTGGATAGCGCCTTTCATAAGAACATAAGAAACGCTAGACAAAAAAGTACCAATGTCCATCTAGCTTGCCTTCCACCTTCCTGGCGAACACATGTACATAGGTATTTTGGGACATATGTGCTATATCCTATAATGTTATTTCCTAAAAGAAAACTTTCTTATCCGTGTTTGAAAGAATTAACACTCCCTGCTTCAACCGCCTCCCGAGGGAGCCTGTTCCACAGGTTCACTATTCGCTCACTGAAAGTGTTTACGTAGATTCGTTCTGAATTTACCCCTCTTCAATCGCAGGCCATGTCCTCTAGTTTTACTATTCTGGACAAGTTGCAACAACCTGTCATAATTTATATTGTCTTGCCACTTTAGAATCTCAAAGACAGCAATCATGTCTCCTCTCAATCTTCTCTTTTCCAGTGTGAACATGCCCAATTTACTTAGTTGCTCCTCATAGTCCAGTCCTTTCATTCCCTCAACCATTTTGGTTGCCCTCCTCTGTATCTTCTCGATTTCTCCAATATCCTTTTTGTAATGCAGTGTCCAGAGCTGTACACAGTGCTCTTAAGTATGGTATCACCAATGATGTATATAGTGGCAGGATTATCCCACTATTTTGGCTTGCTATTGATCTTTTGATACATGCCAACATCTGGTTTGCTTTACTCACTGCCACAGAGCATTGTAGAGAGAGCCTCAATTTATTGTCAATCAGGACCCCCAGGTTCTTTGCATTTTCCATACATTCAAATAATAGTCCCTTCCAGGATTTTTTGTCCCCATGTGAAATACTTTACATTTCTTCACATTGAATTTCATCTGCCACCGATCTGCCCAATATCCAAGTATGTTCAAATCCTCCTGTAAACTATCTTGTTCAGCTTCACAATATACCATTAGCTTGGTGTCATCTGCAAACTTAGCCACTGTAATGTTAAATGTGATTGCATTGTGATAGCTGTTGCTTAATGCTTCTCGCACCTTTATATTGGAGATTTGGTCATTCCTGTTGCTCATTATCAAATCCAAGATGTTAATCTCCCTTTGTTGGCTCTTTAACAAATTGAGTCATAAAACAATCTTCCTTTAACTCTAGAAATCCCTTTCCTATCTTGCCAGTTCACCAACCTTTGGAGTTAGACCCCTTACACTGGTACACCTTGAGGTTTTTCCTAAACAATTCAGGTGCTCTCTTACACCTACGCAACCACCCCCGGGTCTGGTTCAAACACTCCCTAATTAAACTATCAATTCTGCCTGCCAACACCCCACTTTTGTTTAGGTGGAGCCCATCCGGTCTTTATAGATGCCCCCTCTTCCAAAAGTGCCCCATTGTTTGAGGAAACGAAAGCCTGACTCCCTACACCGATGTCTTAGCCACGCATTATTCTGCCTAATTACCCTCTTACTTCCCACACTAGCACATACTTGTAGTATTTCTGAAAATACTAGACTTCAAGTCTTTCCCTTTAGCTTCCTTCCAAATGCTCTAAATTTAGCATTTAATTTAGCAATTTGGTCTACTTATTTATGTTATTTCTTCCCACATGAACAATTGGTTCCTCACCTACTCCCTGTAGCATTTAGACAACCCAGGACATCAGATGCTCAACCCATGCACCCAGTAGCCAACTTACCATTTGATTTTCTGGGTCTAGTTTGCACAGAATGTCATCTGTGAACCAAATAGTCAAATCCCCAAATATCACAACTTGTCTGCTACTTTTTCTCTTCTTGCCTCCTTCCCTAGCAGGCTGCTGGATTGCCTTGGTGCACAGCACTCCCATTGCCTGTTTCAGCCATCACTTGGGTTTCCATATCATCTCTCTGCAGAAGAAAGATACTGTTGGAGAACACAAGGGATGTCTGCTCCTGCTCCACTAGCCAACCACAACTTCTGGCTCCTTTCCTAGCAGAGACCCAATCCTCTCCTCTAGGTACTGGGGACTCCTAGCAAGGTCTCCTCTAATATGTCATTTATAAATACTTCTCCCTCCCTAATACTTTGATGCATGGCCAGTCACTCACTAAGGCTGACCACTTCAGCCTTCAGTGAATCTACTAGCTTGCAGTTAATGCAGATGAATCTAATCAAGGCCTGGAAGGCAAACATCTTGCAATTTCTGCAACACACAAAGTATTCCATTGTTATATACATTATATAAGAAAAAAAAGTTTTCTCACCTGCACCTCTTTCCCCATTTCCCACTCTCACCAAATTCCTTAACAGAATTCTCACTCTGTTCACTTTCCTGTGCTCACACAAGGCGCTCGCAATTCTCCCCTTTATAAAGGCCTCTGACACAACCAGTTTCAACTGGTCAGCAAATAATTAACTAATTAGCCAATCCCTAACACCTGGCCTGTGACTTAACTGCCAATCTGGTTTGTATACCTATTTTGCTTGAAAAGTTCTCTCTTGCTCAAGAAAATTCCCACTCTTTTGCTAAAAGAAAGGGTTTTTTTCAGTCTTTAGTTCTTTCTTGCTTGAGAATTCCTCCTCTCACCAAATTCCTTAACAGAATTCTCACTGTTCCACCTCACTCAGTTGGGCTCTTGTCCTTTCACGTTGTGAAGACATCCCAAGGACAATCAGGAATTTGGACCTGAGCAGTGGGTTGGGATCAGAGGGGTATGGAGGGCAGGGAGGGTAGGAGGACGGCTGAATGTGCGATCGAAGAGG